GCTCCATAGTCCGAAGGCATCATCCTCATAGCCTGAAGACACATGTCATGGCCTGAGGATCTCTCAATACTTTTGCATCATTATTCAAAGGCGTCATGGTTCTGAGGCACCATCCTCATGGCCCGAGAACGTCATTTCATGGCCTGCAAATCTCCTATCTCACAATTCATGGCCCAGGACATCATAGTCTAAGGACATCATCAACCTGTCCAAAGACAATCTTTCATAGTCCAAAGGAAATTTGCATCACGTTTAAATTCTCGCAGTAATCTGTATACTTGCACGCATCGTATTTTGAGTTTTGTAGGTAATCCAGGAGGTAGCCGTTCTTCAAGTAGGAGAAACCTTCGCTCCGGTTTCCGCTCATACCATTTTCACCCTGCCAATACAACCGATTCCCATCAGTTACCCACCTTACTATGTGAACATTCAGATATCTGCCCTATAATACATCCGTTACACTCCAGACTCATACTTATAACTCCATCCGACATTACTCTTCATAAAAGAACCTTTGCTGAAACTGGCTACCATTCCAATAACAACTCCATCGGCTTCATTTGTCGTTGGGTCCAGAACTACACGTGGCTTGATTCCTGTAAAAAATGGAATATGTAGGCAACTCAAAGACCAGGGTTCGGCCTCTATTTTTCAAAACATCCCATTCGGTCAAAATCGGTCATCATTTCTTTACCCCAAAAACTCTTTCATCCATCCCGGGTAAAGAGGGGCAGCTGTTGATACCCAATTTTTCCCTAATATATTTTAAAATGTGCATGCATACTTCCAAAATATTTTCCATATAATTACAAACATGCACAAATGTTTTTAATATTTTTGTATAATTTTTAAAGGCCTTAAATCCATTTATTTCTGCATTTTTAATTACATAAATGTTCAAAATTATCCCTCATATTACTTTATGATGATTTAATCATCTAAATTCATCATTTTATGCTCATATAGGTGTTCAAATATTTCAATTGCATATTTTACAGTTACATTTGCATTTTTAAAACTATAATTACATATTTTGCAATAATGGCCCACATATATGCATAACTACATATCTATACAGAAAATGACTTTTTATATTTTTATAATATTAAGTAATTATTTTCAATCACCTTCATGCATGAAAATCATTTCGTATCATTTAATTAGTTATTTTAAATTTTATTTTATTCAGTAAACTAGGTATTTAACAAATAGCCCCTAATTATACCCAAAATCGGACCTTCCCTTGCCCAATTTAATTTAGCCTAAGCCCAAACCACCCCAACCCAAAACCTAAAGACCTCTACCCGACCCAAACCCCTTCTAATCTTGGCCGTTGATCTCTGAGGTCAACGGCCCCCATTCCCCCTTTCCTATTTTTAACTCAAACGACCCATAACCCTAGCCATTATCCAAAGATAGCCGCCCTTGAATCCCCCTTCTTCTCTGATCCTCTCTGAAACTAACCCTAACCCTAGCGCCGTCACCTAAATCTACCCCAAACCCTTCGATCATTACCCATTTCATGGGGTTCCCTGGTGATTTGAGGCCCCTACCGGCCTCTTACCTCTTCTGGTTTTTCAATTTTGTGGTTTCATGAAGGGATCTCGAAGAGATCCAACCCAAATTTTGTTCGAAACCATTTTAAAATCCACCTATGGCCATCTCCGTTTGTGAGTGCTATTATCTTGTGTATATGGCTCGAATCTCTGGTTCCAAACCAGATTTTTCTTTTATCCCTGTCACTTTCTCAAAACCCTCATCTCTTAACTTTGAATCTGTTCAGATCCTTGTAGCTCTGAAACGTTTTCGAGTTTATACGGTAGTCTCCTTTAAAAAAAAATTTGTTCTCTTTATCATCAACTAATTTTAATGTTCCTCCAAATTACGGTTTTGATTCTTTGTTATTTGCTGTAGATCTGAAGTGGTTTTGAGTTCCTATAGCTTTTTTCTTTGAAGGTTTTCTGCTTTTCTTACTGTTAATTGATCCTTATGTTCCTAATAACTAGGGTGTTCACCTCGTCTGTTTTGCGAATCTTTTTCTAACTCCTATGTATTTGATTAACCTTTTTTCCAATGATTTTTTTCTTTATTGTGTTCCAGTCTTAGTTTATTTGATTGCTTCATTGCTCGCTTCAATATTTGCCCATTATTTTTGAATAATTGAATGATTAACCAAACCGACTAGGGTTTGAAAGGGTTTTGTTTTACTGAGATGATTATTTACTGTAATTTTGCCTGCTTTCCTTATTTTGGGACTCCTAATTGATGCTACCTGCCTTAATTATTCCTATTAAGCTTAATTTGTGGGGTGACTACCTTACCAACCTTAAATTAGTCTCTATGTACTTGTGTTACCTTATTTGTGTGATTAATTGCCCTGTTGCTTGCCGGATTTTCAGTGTTCTGACTCTAATTGGCTATCAGACTTATCATTTGCCTTATTTAGACCTCAATTCCGAGTTATTTTGGATACAATCCAATGATTTTTTGCTTATTGATTAGCCCTGTCATGATTTTCAGTGTTCTGAACTGTTTTCTTAAAACTATTTCTTAACCTTCAAGCACTACCTTCCACTCCTACTCTTAGAATATCGAGGATCTTGCCCCTACAGTGTGAGCACTGCTTAGGAGACCATGAGACTCCTCTGAACTCTAACACACTAGGGCTGGCCCTTCCACACTGCACAAAGAATGTTTCTCTTTAAAGAGAGTCAGGGTGTGAGCATTGCCCGGGGTCCCTGAGGCCCTTGGGAACTTTGACGCACCAGAATACTCTCTTGGATACTATGAGTTGTTGGGGTACTGCATATTTGGTTGACGGCCTAGTTTTTCAGGATTACTTTTGGGCCTATCTAGGCTCCCTACAGTTTAGCAGTTTTTTTCTGTAATTCGTTCATTCATTTTGGGTCTGTAATAATAACTCTTGTAAAATAGATATTGGGGATATTAGTAAAATGGGAGGGATTGTTTTATATGTTTTGTGGGGAAATCGGGTAGAAATCCTGTTCTTAGGACTGTTATGATTATCTATCTGCATTAGAAACCATGCCTACAGGTTGTTGTGTGCATTAGAAAACGTGCTTATAGGTGCATCATGTTATTTGCTCTAAATTTTTTTTATGCGTGTTCACTCACACACTAGAAATCTTGTCTCTAGGTTGTTGTTACTTTCGCCTTAACAATCATTCTCCTATGTGCATTAGAAACCATGTTCTAGGATTTTTATTCCACTCACTTTGATATCATACCTGCAATCAAGTTGTATAAAAAATGAGTTTCTTCAGTAGCATTCATGCCTATAGGAAATAAGTATAAAAGCAATCCCAACACCTAGATATTAGATTTATATAAAATTAGTTCTGCAACGTTTGTGATAATTTTCAGCACCTAGAAAGCATGCCTATAGGACCTAATGAACCAAATCGCCTTCTTAAAATCGTTTAACTGTTATTTGCAATTCTAATTAACGATTAGATATCATGTTCATAGGACATCTCTGATCCACGCCTAGGCAAGCCTGTAGGGCAATTAAAATCTTGAAATAATAAAACTGTGCTTTTGTTGAACTGTTTGTGAATTGCCAAATTCAGCTAGTCCTAAAATCAGTAGGCAAACTGATTAAGTACCTTCTGCCTCGCTTTAATAAAAACGCTGCATATGTTCTGCTTTGTGCTCACCTAGATATCCTGCTATAGGACTTGTAACATGTCTGAAATGTTGTTGTTTGAGACGTGCAATTGCCTGCTTATTTGTGGAGGTCAATGTGAGCCTTTAACTGTTCCTTTATCTAACAGTCCTATTTGTTTGCTTGTCGCTTAGATTTTTCTCCTTTGAAACACTATAGGAGTGTATAGATCCACCTTAAATAGAAGTCCTAAATACCTCCAGGACCTTAAGTAGGGGACGGGTAATGCACGCACAGAGTACGTTTAATCAGAATCGCTTATATAACCATTAAGGGGAGGGTAATCGGGTAGTAAAGGATATGATGACCTGTGCAATAATGCTATGTGTAACACCCCAACTTGGGGACGATTACCAAGTATTGCACAAAAGTGATCCTATAGGCTAAAAAACCTAGGACCCCTTTTACCCCTTGTTTTAAACGTAATATCTATTTGTCTAAATTGCTTTGTTTACTTATAAGACTAATTCACCTAATTCGTGTTTGGCCGGGACCCACCATTGTGGACCTCGAGCGGTGCCTAACACCTTCCCCTCAAGGTTATTTTGAGCCCTTACCAATATCTGGTAATGCAAATCGGTCTATGAGTTATTTGCTTTAGGTGCCCTAACGCACCTTAAATCCGTTAGGTGGCGACTCTTCAAAATTCATACCCAATTCCCAAAAGGAAATGAGTTGTCCTAAAGAAATGTCGAAACCCGGAGTCCGCGTGGAAAAAGGGGGCGCGACAAGTGGGATATCCATCCAATCACAAATTCAACAAAAGGAGAACCTATGGTAGACCACAAAGTTCACACAATGTCAGTCATTTGAAGAACCAGAAGCAAGTGGATCATCGGGGATTAGCAGCATGCCAATGTTCACCTTAGAGCAATATAATCAGCTTTTGAAATTGATTAACCATGAACCAGCAGTTGCAGAAACCAAGGTTAACATGGCAGGTATAAAGGAATTTCTTGACACTTGTTTGGCTTGCAGGTTCTGAACCTAATTCCTGGATAATTGACACTGGGGCCTCAAACCATATGGTTTCTAGCCTGGACCTTTTAACTTAATCTTCTCTTGTGTTTCCCAATACTAGTAAACTTCATCTACCAAAATGGACATATTACATCAGTAACACATACATGGTCACTAACTCTTTTTGATGATCTTGAATTGTGTAATGTGCTTTATGTTCCAAATTTCAAATATAACATGTTATCAGTATCCAAACTTACCAAAGAGCTGAGATGTTGTGCAATATTCTTTCCTGAATTTTGCATTTTTCAGGACCTTTGCACTGGCAAAGTGAGGGGGATCGGTAAGGAGAAGGATGGCCTCACCTGTCAAAGCACCTGAACAATCATCAGCCATAGCATTCAATACAACAATACCTATAACAAATTCAGTTCCTGCTGCTTCTCCTGTTTCAGTTCCAGCCTCTACTATAGCCTCTGCTTGCTCTCCATCAAAGCATTCAGATCACTGCTCTATGTGGCACCAAATACTTGGCCATGCTCAAGTGGCGGTCCTACATAAAATTCACTTTCTAAAACACCATGAGTTGAATAAAGAGCAGTTGTCTTGCACTATCTGTCATTTAGCAAGGCAGACTAAGCTCCCCTTTCCTACTAGTCATAATAAAACTGTAACCCCTTTTGAACTTGTACATATGGATGTGTGCGGTCCATATAGACAATGCACTTACAATGGATATAGATACTTTTTTACCATTGTAGACTATTATTCTAGGATGGCTTGGATCTACTTGATGAGAATGAAAAGTGATGTGTTCTTGTTGATCAAGTCTTTATTGCACTTGTTAAGAATCAATTTTCTGCTTCTATCAAGATCGTTAGGTCTGATAATGGTCTTAAATTTTTTAATGCTCAATGTGCAACTCTTTTCACTTCTCTTGGAATTGTCCATCAAAGTTCTTGTGTTCACACTCCACAACAAAATGGAGTGTCAGAACGAAAGCATAGGCATCTACTTGAAATGGCTAGAGCCCTTAGGTTTCAAGCTCATTCCCCGTTGAAATTCTGGGGAGAATGTGTTCTTACAACTTCCTTCATCATTAATAGATTGCCTTCTTCAGTTCTTTCAGGGAAATCTCCTTATGAGCTGTTTCATGGTCAATCACCTTCACTTACTCAACTTAAGGTGTTTGGCTATTTGTGTTATGCAACCACACCATGCTTCACAGACAAGTTCTCTTCTAAAGCCATTCCTGCAATCTTCATGGGTTACTCAAAGACTTAAAAAAGGTACAAACTATACAACATTTCATCAGGAACCTTTTTTGTCAGTAGAGATGTCTCTTTAGAGAAACCACATTTCCTTTTAGACATCCCAAGACCACATTTCTACAGTCACATCTCCCTAACTCAACTCTCACCTTTCCCAGTCCAGCTTCTATTCCTTCTTATGATGATACATTTCCTACCAGAGATGATGTACCATCCAGTTCACCTCCAACTTCTGTTCTAACTCCAAAACCCCTCATTGCACAACCAGAACCCTCTAGTCTACAACCACCTCTATCTCCTGTTATGCAACCTAACATTACTCCCTCAACACCTTCTCCCATTGAGCAACAACCCACTCACATTTCAGATGTCACTCTGAGGAAGTCTGTCAGGACATCTAATCCTCCCTTATGGCTAACTGACTATGTGCATCAGGTCAAGCCTACTTCCACTCCTTATTCCATATCTTTCTCCCTCAACTACTCTTCTTTATCACCTTCTTATAAAGCCTGTCTAACTTCTTATTCTTCCATTGTTGAACCTACAACCTTTGAACAAGCTGCTACAGACAGCAATTGGGTGCAGGATAGGAACTTGAGGTTTAGGCCCTCACTGGCAATAACGCCTGGGAGTTGGTAGATTTACCTGCAGGAAAGACTCCAATTGGTTGCAAATGGGTTTATAAGGTGAAGTACAAGACTGATGGGACTGTGGAAAGATAGAAAGCTCGATTAGTTGCCAAGGGGTTCACTCAACAAGAGGGTTTGGATTACCATGAGACTTTCTCACCTATGGTGAAGATAGTCACAGTCAGGAGTGTTATTGCTCTAGCTACTCAGTATGGTTGGCCTTTTGCTTCAGATGGATGTGTACAACGCTTTCCTACAGGGGGACATATAAGTTAGGATTTTAACGTGTTTTATGCCCCTACTTGCCTATGCTTTGGTTATAAATTGCTACAAAATAGTCCCATAATGCTCACAAGTTGTACTTGATTGCAGGTTTGATCGACAAAGCGACAAATGTCAAAGATCGGCTCAAAAAGGAGTGAAACCTGCTCAAGTGTCAAAGACTAAGTAAGTTGAGGAAAAGAGAACCTAGTGCGGACCGCACAAATGTGAATGCGGCCGCACTAGGGGGTTCAGAGGAAGGCAGTTTCATGTGGGCATGCTACGCGGCCGCGGTTGGATTCTCGCGGTCCGCGGTCAGGCTCCGCGGCCGCGCTTCTCTTTTGTGCGGTCCGCGGAGCAGAGATTCAGAGAGCCATAATTTTGCCAATTCCAAGCAATGCGGCCCGCGTATATTTCTGCGCGGCCGCGCCAACTTCCACCGCGGCCGCGCTGCATTTCCACGCGGTCCGCGGTCCCCAACTTCAGAGAAGCTGAAATCATGAGTCCAAGAGCCAGTGCGGCCGCGGTCCTTTTTGCGCGGTCCGCGCTGACCCCGCAGGGGTATTTTTGTCCAGTTTTTCCAACCCAGTATAAATAGGACCTTTTACCATTTTTAGGAAAATTTTTATGTTCTAAACGCAGCTGAGCTCGTGAGACCGGATATTGTAGCCATTTTTGGCACTTTTGCTCTTTATTATTGTAGTTTCTTCCTAGTAATTAATTAATATGCTTACTTCTTCATCTATTTCTTTAATTTCTGTACCTAGCATGAGTAGCTAAACCCATTAGCTAGGGTTGTGGCTCAACCCTAGTATGGGTAATTGATGGGAGTTGCCATCTAAGGTTAGATTGATATTGGGTGTTTGTTATTTGAGTTGATTTTAGGTTTTAATTAAGGATTGGTGGTTGCAAACACTGATTCTAGCTTTGTGGGTTTAACTCTTCTTGAGAAAGAGAGTCCATGACCCCAAAATTAACCCAACAAGGAATTGGGATGGACCCATGAGAAATGGTAGTCCCAAATAACGGGTTAAATCTCGAGAGAGTAATTACCCTACTTGAACCCTAGTTGCTTGGTCTAATTGGCCTACCCAATTGGTCTCGAGAGAGTCAATTGGGCAAAATCATTCTCTCTACCGAGAGGTGTGAGAGTGGGTACAATTGTGCAACGGTTATAGCATAAGCCCCAAATATGTCAATCTATCCTTAGTAACATCTACCCGTTAATTATCCATCTAGGCAATGCCACGACCCTAGTGCCTTTCTCTATATTCTATACAACTTAGCAATATTCTCTTCGCATAATTTAGCGTTAATCAATAGTTTATTCATAGTAGTTATAAAAATCAAAACCCAAGAATGTTTGAAGTGACATTAGGAGTACAAACACATCTCTAGGCTAAACAGAAAATCCAACTCCACTACTAGCTCTCTGTGGAAATTCGATCCCGAACCACTATTCGGGTAAAAGCTATTGCAACCCGCTCTTCCTACCTTAGTGTAGCGTCGAGTCGGCAGCGATCAGGGACCTTTCAGAAGAAGATTATATGTCATTGCCTCAAGGGTTTGGTAGTTAGGCGGAGACTAGAGTGTGTAGACTACTCAAATCCCTCTATGGCTTAAAACAGGCTAGCAGACAATGGAATTTAAAGCTCACCTCAGCTCTCACAGAGTCTGCTTTCAACCAAAGCAAATTGGATAATTCACTATTCACTAAGAGAACTGGGAGTGCCATAATGATTATATCGGTTTATGTTGACGATCTTTTGATCACAGGAAATGATAGGTTTTTAATTCAAGAAGCCAAAGATATATTGAATCACAACTTCAAGATGAAAGATTTGGGAGAGCTAAAGTTTTTCCTTGGTATTGAGTTTGCAAGATCACACAGGGGAATCCTCATGAACCAAAGGAAGTATGCCTTAGAGCTTGTTTCACAATGTGGCCTAGAAGGAGCTAAACCAAGCATTTCCCCTTTGGATCAGAAAATGAAACTTACTAGTGTGGAACATGACAAGCTTTTTGGTATGCAAGGACATGATACAGAACTTGAAGACATCAGAGTGTATCAGAGACTTATTGGCAGACTCTTGTATTTGGCAATCACAAGGCCAGACATTTCATATGTAGTCCAATTTCTCAATCAGTTTATGAATGCACCAAAACAATCCCATTATGATGCAGCATTGAGGGTAGTAAGATATATCAAGAATTGTCGAGGACAAGGTTTGTTGATGAGTAGCAAACAGAGTAGGAAGGTATCTGCATTCTGATACAGATTGGGCATCCTACTCAGTGACTAGGAAGTCTGTTACAGGCTTTTGCATAAAACTTGGAGACTCCATGATCTCTTGGAAATCTAAGAAACAGGGCACAATTTCAAGAAGCTCCGCAGAGGTTGAGTACAGAAGCATGGCCAACACTATGGCTGAGTTAACTTGGATACATGGGTTGCTGGAGGAATTAGGAGTGCATGTTGATTTACCTATGGAGTTGTACTGTGACAACAAAGCAGCCATACAGATTGCTTCAAATCCAATGTATCACGAGCGCACAAAGCACATAGAAATTAACTGCCACTTTATCCGAGAAAAGCTACAACAGGGCATGATTAAAACAGCTTATGTTCCCAGTAAGGATCAAATTGCAGATATACTAACCAAGGCACTTGGAAAACAGCTACATAGTGATATGGTTTGCAAGTTGGGATGATAAACATTTTTTCATCACACAACTTGAGGGGGAGTGTTGAAAAGAGCAGTAGTAGCAATACTTGTACATAGGCAGTTAGAGTTGTACATGTTAGTTTAGAGTTAGTTAGTTTTAGATGTATGGTTAGTTGAGTAGTTAAGCTAATTAATTGTATTAAGTGAGTAGGTAGTATAAATAAGGATAGATATACACGTGTACATTGAGGCTTGTAATTTTCAGAATATCTGAACAGAGAATTCTCTCTTTCTTCTTTCTCTTCGTCTAGATCCTTCTTCTTCGACCAATTCAGCTCAAAATGCTCCCTTTCAATACTAATAAGTAGTTAATACGAATTTGTTACCCTCATATGCCAAGTTACTACAGAGAATGGGCGTGTTGTCAAAAAATATTTATATACAACATTTTAGAATTTACTTTCTTTAATTTAGAAATTCATAATGTCTAAATTATGGTTCGCCAATATGGACAAAATAAAAAGAAAGAAAAAGAAGAGTTATTGGTAGCCCATACCCTGACACACAGAACTCCAGAATCCTCTCTGGCACTGTTCTATTGGCTCCTTCGGCCATTAAATACATGTATTTGCTACATAGTGTGCTTCCTTTTAAAACCATCCCTTGCTTCCCCACCCATGTTACACAGATGTATTAAATATGAATATAAAAATAATAGTGGAAGTACTTTCTTTATATTTCCGTGTTTCTATGTCCTACTTTTACGAGATATTTTGTTTTAATATTTGCAGCTGTTTATCTGTCCAATTAGGGTGATTAGGATAATTTAATTGTAAGACTACTATTTGATAAATCTGATATAACAGAGTTAAATAATAAATTGCTTACAATCTTTTATGAAGTTGGGAAGTTACTTTATATTGTTAAAAGATCATCATATAAATAATATGGATTCGAATATAAGCCAGATAGCTTATTGAATTACTAAGGCTATTTTTCTTATGCTAATATGAGGGGGGAAATGTCAATTTAGTAGTGTGTATGTTTTGATGTACCTTCTTCTTTGGTTCAATATATTATTAGCTTTCTACAAATATCAATTGGAATATTCCCCATGTTATCTGGAAGTTCGTTACCAGATAAAAATAGAAATGCATTGCATTTTTACGAAGAAAAAGGAGCAAGCTTCCTTCTACTTTGACTTCAAAAAAAAAAATCCACCCTTGAATTTTCGCCTAATTTTTTTTGAGTCCATTACTCAAATGGTCACTCAACTATCCCAAATTATCTCCTAAAGTCACTTTACTTTCTTTTGTAACAACAAAGTCACTGAACTATGCCTATTGCACTCAGCAGGCCACTCAACTAGATTTTAAAAATTATGGATTGCCAAATACCTATTTTACCCTCTAAATTATAAACATTTATTTTCTTTTTGTTTTCTTTAACTTTTTAATATTATGATTTTCCCTTTTTAATTTATATTGGACTTACCTATAGAATAAATAAGTATTATTTATAAATTAAAAAAATACAAAGCATTTAAGCATATATAATGCTGGAATAACAAAATAATAAGCATAGTAAAATAATTAATTAGAATAATTTATTAGTAATAATAATTGTCGTATTAACAACAAAAATACAAAAAATTAGTTACACAATTCAGAATAAAAGAAAATAAAGGTTGTAAAATATATATTCCATGCACGTAATATAAAAATAACTATTTAAATAAAGGTATTTTTATAATATACATTATATATTCTTGAAAATTGTGCTCAATTATATTATTATGTTTTTACCAACTTTCCGATGACACAAAGTTATGTCACCTGAAAGCAGGGGGACTATCTGTATAGGGTAAAATATGCTATGTTAAGTTGTTCATGGAATATATATAATATAATTGAGCATAATTTTCAAGAATATATAATGTATATTATAAAAATAAATTTATTTAAATAATTATTTTTATATTACATGCATGAAATTTATATTTACATTCTTTATTTTCTTTCATTCTGAATCGTGTAAATAATTTTTAGAATTTTTTTGGTTAATAATAAAATATATTATTACGAACAAATTATTCTAATTAATTTATTTTACTATTCTCATTATTTTGTTATTCTAGTATTATAGATGCTTAAATATATTTTATTTTTTAAATTTATGAATAATATTTATTTTTTATATAGGTAAGTCCATAATATAAATTAAAAATGGTAAATCATAATACTAAAAAGTTAAAAAAAAATAAAATAAAAAAAAGATAAATATTTATAATTTAGGGGTAAAATAGGTATTTGGCAATCCAAAATTTGGAAAATCTAGTTGAGTGACCTTCTGAGTGCAATAGGCATAGTTCAGTGACTTTGTTGTTACAAACGAAAGAAAAGTGACTTTAGGAGATAATTTGAGATAGTTTAGTGACCATTTGAGTAATTGACTCAATTTTTTTTTCTAATTCTACCTATTGCAAAAAAGTATTTTCTCGCACAGGCGGATTTAATATTTTGAATTTATCAGTTTACTATAGAAAAAACCGCTTTTAGAGTTCTGAATAAATTATTACTAGAAAATAAGTGAATTTTGTAACAGAAACATAGATTTCGGCTTTCCTGTTGAATTCCTAATTTCAACCTATAACTGTTTAGATTCATTATTTCTAAATATAGTACTAATAGTATAATAAAATAATCCTCCATCTTCTCTCTCTCTTCTCAACTTTCCTTTCTTAAACACTCCTTCATTTCTTGAACTTTCTCGCTTTCTCCCTTGTTCTAGCAACTTCCTTTTCCTCTTCAACTTCATTGTTATACAATCTTGATCCACAAGAAAGTGGCTATAATTGTAAGCAAATGAAGATACAGTGTGATGTCTGTAACAAGAATGAAGCCTCTGTATTTTGTACAGCAGATGAAGCTGCTCTTTGTGAAGCTTGTGACCATCGTGTCCACCATGTCAACAAACTTGCTAGCAAACATGAGCGTTTCTCTCTTCTTCAACCTTCTACTAAACAATTCCCTTTGTGTGATATTTGTCAGGTATCCTTAATTTTAGAGCTTGATCTCAAATTTCTTGTTTATTCTTTTCTATAGCTGTATTCAGAGGCGGATCCAGGATTTAAATTCTATGGGTTCAGTTTTAACATTTTTAACATTGAACTCATTATATTTTTAAAGCTATGGGTTAATATGTACTATTTTTGTAATTTTAATAAATTTTTACATACAAAAGTTAAGGGTTCAGTTGAGCCCGTAGTTAGTACACTACATCCACCTCTGACTGTAGTGTCCTAGTAAGCTTCAAGATTCGATATATACCATTAATCAAGATTCAGACGTATAGGAAGAAATCACCTATTAGTGAATTTTATAGCTTAATCTCAAAATTCCTCTTCGCTTATTCGTTTCCCAAAAGGTTTATTACGGGAGTTCTATTAGTTGGTAAATTTACTAGGGTTAAGGGCAAGGGCGAAGCTATGTATGGCCAAGGGTTGTCAGTTGAATAAAAAATAGATTTTGAACACCCTTGCATAGTCCACTTGCAAAGGATGTTCAAATTTTGAACACCCTTATTGAATTTCTTCGCTTCGCCATTGGTTAAGGGTTTGCGCAGCCGGCCTAAAACACATTGGTATCCCTCTAGTTTTGGATCGTGACAAACTTGGTACATGAGAAAAAGAATATTCTTCTAAATAAAACGATCATCATATTTGGAGAGTTTTTAATTTTTTTTTGGGGGGGGTTGTGTTGGGGTGGGGGGGGGGGGAGGGGGGGGGGACTTGCTAATCTCTGTAACGTGTTGAATGAGTTGTTGTTTGATTTTACCTTCTTGATAATGGGGTTTTGGTCGTGTATTCACAGGAAAGGAGGGCTATCTTATTTTGTCAACAAGATAGGGCTATTCTATGTAGAGAGTGTGATCTTCCAATACACAAAGCAAATGAGCACACTCAAAAGCATAACAGATACCTTTTTACTGGTATTAAGCTATCAGCAAATTCTGCTCTCTATTCTTCTACACCATCACCATCAGCAGCTTCCTCTGCCAATTCCTCTGCTTCAAGTTTCAAGTCTCAAAACCCCACAAATAAGCCTGCAGCTGTGGAAACGGTGACGGTTGTTAAAGAGAAAGTTGGTGGATGTAATTCTCAATTGGTGAATGTTGGAGGAAATAACTTAACAAGTAGTATATCAGAGTACTTAGAGATGTTGCCTGGTTGGCATGTTGAAGATTTTCTTGATTGTTCTACTCCTAATGGTTCTTCTAAGGTTTGTACATATGCTCCTTTAATCTTCTTTGCATTTTCTGGCACCTAATTTAAGAATTTTTACATTATCAAGTCATCTTTACTTATCGTCGCAGGTAAAATGCCTTATTTTAAGGTTAGCGATCTCACTTTTACATATCTTTCAGGTGACCTGATTGTGGAAAAAATTCTTTACACTATTTTTTCCTTAAAGTCGAGTAAGTGTAAAATATAATGCAATTATTCTGATCTTTTTCTTTTCTTTATTGGGTCATTGGTAGATTGGTGATGAGGATATGTTGTCATTTTGGGATACTGATCTTGAGAGTCATATGAGTTCTTTTCCCCCACAAAATATTGGTGTTTGGGTTCCTCAAGCCCCTCCTCCTCTACAGTCAAAGCAGCAGACTCAGACCCAATTTTTATCTCCTTCAAATTTGAACTTTGGTGGGCAAATTGGGATCAAGGACTCAAGAGAAGTCAATAGCATCAAGTCCAGTAGAAAGTGGAGGGATGACAATTCTTTTGCTGTTCCACAGATTAGCCCTCCTTCCACCTCTTTCAAGAGATCAAGAACTCTTTGGTAGAAGATTCCGATGATCTTCTCTGTATCGTTCCAATTTTATCGAATGTCCGAAGGATGACCATGCACAAGGATTATAAGCACAAATCAAGAATACTGCAATGATCTTTTTTATTTTTATTAACTTGTCTGTCAGCTTTTTATTTTCTTGATTAGTTTGAACCTCCTCCTCCGTCCTCTCTTGAAAAAGAAAAAAAAAAAGACCCTCCTCCTTTTTGCTCCAGTTCAATTGGCTTTGCTATAGTTCTTGAAATGTCTGTTGTTTTACATCGTACTTGTCTAGTGCAAGGATGTTTCTTGTGCTGTAAATATTTTTTTTTGTGAATCCCATGAATGGAGCCTTAAAATTAGTTATTTGGATCTTTTACAGACAATCTTAGGTCATGTCCTTTCTTTATACTTCCGCGAAAATTTTCTTTGTTTCGGTTTGATACGTTTACCCAAACCCCTACAACAACAACAACAACCCAATGGAATCCCACAAGTGGGGTCTGGGGAAGGAAGTGTGTACGCAGACCTTACCCCTACTCCATCATGGGGAGGCTGTTTCCGATAGACCCTCCTAAAATGGGGTATGTTTGTTGTTGGTTTGATACGTTTAATTTGGATCAAAGAAGTGACAGTTAAAGAAACTCACCAAATATTTTTACCTTTTTGGTGTGGGATTAGACCAGCAAAGAGTGTATTATTGTCTTGCACAAAGGGAAAAGATGGTTCTGACTGTATAACAAGGCTAGACTAGCAAATTGGATGCGTCTAGCTTCAAGAAAATTCATTCTATAAGGACTGGATAGTGGAACTTTGAGCAAATACAAGTTTGGTCGCAAGATTTGGATTTTATTTTACATTGATACAAATTTAAACACTCCCTCAATCTTTAATCCCATTGCTATTCAAATTATCTCCTTCATTGGTGAAGTTAGGAATTTCTTTAAGAGTGTTCAAACTTATAAGAATTGAAAAAAATTATCCAACAAAGAGTGTTCAATATATGTTATATACCACAAAACCTAATATTTTTTACCTATTACCTAGTGTAATTTTTTGACGAAGGTTGGTCAATTGACCACCCTTTAAGACGTGTAGCTTAATAGCGCATGTACTACTGCTGTTTGGTTTGAGTGGGTCTTTGTTCAGTAACTTTAGGCTACAGTTTAGTATCCACTGGATTTTAGCTTTTACAGTTATTTTATTTTTTATACTGGTTATATTTTCCTACCTTCTAGGAGTTAGCTTAGCACAATTGGTTACTTCCTTTGTATATAAACTCCATTGGAGGCTCATCAAATATATAGACTTTTCATTCTAGTTTTCTGCCTTCATATGGTATCAGAGCCAAAACAACACTCTAACGAGTAAACTATCCAAGATCCTTTTTTTCCCTCTGCAAAAATGGGTTCCTCTACACCAGTTGCTAATGCCGACAACACCACTGTGTTCAAACATTTAATCCAATTCAACCCATCATCTCAGTTGCCCATTAAATTGTCTGGCAGCCATAATTTCACTACATGGAAGGACCAAATTGCCATGCTACTCCATGGTCATGACCTCTATGGTCATCTTGATGACTACGCCATCTCCTTCGACAACAGTCACCACCAACAGCCGTAAGACGCCCAACCCGGAGTATAAGGATTTGTTTCGTCAAGATAAACTGATCCAAAATGCTCTAATGGCCTCTGTAGATGCCACCATTGCATCCACTGTCGCTTCTGCAGCACACTCTAAAGATGCCTGGGATCAACTCCATACTTCCTTTGCGAACAAATCGCAAACTCGCATCTTTAGTCTCCGTCACCATCTCAGTCGGGTCACCAAAGACACCAAATCGATTTGCTGAATACCTGCGAGAGATTCGATCTATCTCTGATGAACTTGCCACAGCAAGTTCTCCTGTTTCTAATTAAGAACTTGTGGTGAAAATATTGAGCGGACTCGGCCCAGAGTTTCGTGAGATCTCCGCAGCCATACGGGCACGCGACTCTCCAATCAGCTATGAGGAACTTTTTGATAAGCTCCTTGATTGTGAGATATTTCTCAAACATGAGGACCTTAAGAAACTACCACACAAGTCACAGCAGCTGTTGCTCAACGCATCACGAATTCTTCACCAACTCCACGCAACAATCGACGCCCACCGAACAATAACAACAACTGGCGAGCCCCAAATAGGCAGTCCAAAAACGCCAATCCCCACTGGCGCAACTTTCCTAACCAATCTGTTCAACCCCCACGGGTTCGCTGTCAACTATGTGACCGCTTTGGCCATACAGCAAATGTGTGCCGCTCACGTTCCCATAACCACTTTGAAGCAAAGGCAAATTTTGTTGCACAAACACCACCAAGTGACCCCTGGATTCTCGACTCAGGTGCCTCTCATCACATTACTTCTGACACTACTTCCCTTCACAATGTTCAAGACTTCAAAGGGATTGAGGAAGTAACAATGGGTAATGGTAATGGGATTCCAATTACTCAAACTGGTACTACTCATTTACATGCATCAAATACTGCCTTCAAACTTTCTAATATTTTGTGTGCTCCAGCTATCAAGCGCAAGCTTATTTCTGTTTCTCAATTTTGCAAAGACAACCTAACCTCAATAGAATTTTTTCCTTTTAAATTTTTTGTGAAGGATCTGACTATGGGAACACCTCTTCTGTGCGGCCCAAATAAAGCAGGACTCTACGAATGGCCGTCACTGTCTCGCCCTACCATCAACGTCGCCATTGCTGGCCCTTCCTTACATCTGTGGCATCGCAGATTGGGCCACCCCCATTCTCGAGTTTTATTTTCTATTTTAAATAGTTCCAGTCTTTCATATTCTTCGAAAGACAAATTTACTTATTGTAATTCCTGTTGCTGCAATAAAGCTCACAGATTTCCCATTTATGCAAACACCTTGTGTAGCAAATATCCATTAGAAATAATTTACAGCGATCTATGGGGCCCCTTTCCAGTGGTTTCAATTGATTAAAAGAGATACTATTATCTTTTTGTTGATCAGTATAGCAAATACATTTGGTTATACACAATGAAAAACAAAAATGAAGTTCAAAAAATTTTAAAGCATACATCCTCTGCTTGAAAAACATTTTGGTCACAAAATGCTCACCCTTTACACTGACGGGGGAGGAGAATATCAAATCCTAGAACCGTACCTCAACTCCAATGGTATACAACACCTTGTTTTTCTACCACACACACCTCAAAGGGTTGTCATCGCTGAAAGACGTCATCGACACCTTATTGAGACAGCCAAAACGCTACTTCATCAAGCTGCTTTACCGTCCAATTTTTGGACATTTGCTTTCCATCATGCAGCATATCTCATAAACCGACTACCCACAAGCACACTTGGTAACAAATCACCTTTTGAAGTTCTATTCAATGAGAAACCAGCTTATGACTCTCTTCGTATGTTTGGTTGTCTTTGCACCCATGGCTCCGGCCATATGCCCAAAATAAATTAGCACCATATTCAAAACCTTGTGTTTATCTAGGATTCTCCATCACTCATCATTCGCATCAGTGGTTTGAACCCACGAGTTCCAAAATATTTTTATCACGGGATGTAAAAATTTTAGAAGATATTTTCCCATTTGAAAATATATTTTCTCAGTTAAAACAGAACTTATCATCTTTAAATTGGGAAACTCCTTTAGATCAGAGTAATCCTTCTATTTTCTGTCAACCAGTAAATACAGTTGATACAACTATCACTCAGCTGCCCCACACTATTCCGTTGATGCGAGATAGATGTATGCTCACTTCATGCCGCACAGGGAAACAACCCACAGCCAGATCAATCTGCAACTCATGACCCAGGTAACAATCAAACTGCTTCTTTATCTTCTGCTTCTAATGTCCATCAATCACCTGCTACTCAAAATCTACAACCCTACTTCGTCTTCCAGAGCCAACCCCCTGCCCCCTCTACTCAACCTATCTCCTCAACTCGCCGACCATCAATTACTCACGTTTATTGGCGTCGCCCAAACTTATCACACAAGTTGTCCCGACCCACTAATCCCATTGTTCATGTTCCACAAATAGAGCCAAATTGTGTAGTGACGAGGTCTCAAAACAACATCTTCAAAAGAAGAAAGATCGTTGACTACACTGCACAAATCTCCCAGCCAGAAACACATCCAATACCTGTAACTCACAAGCAAGCACAAAAAGATTCAAATTGGAGAGCCGCTATGAATTCTGAATTTGATGCATTGATGAAAAACCAGACTTGGGAATTAGTTCCCCCAGACCGCACCAGAAACGTTTGTTAGTAGACTGTATTTGTAAAATAATTCTGGAAATATAAATGAGTATAAACAGAAATGAACATAAACAGAAATGACATAAAACCAATTCGAGCCCACTGAATTCACAGTGTTTCCTTAAGGAATTTAATCCCCTCCTAGTACCCAAGGTTATGGATTATTTCCTCCCAGGATAGAACGAATTACACACTGGTGTAGTGGTACTTCAAACCCCAGTGTTTCAGCGAACACAAAGTTCGGTAGCAAATCACACTTACTTTTTGCTTTGTTTGATGCTAAAAGTATGCAGAAGAAGGAGAAGAAACTCAGAAAATCGTAGTGAAATTCTGAGCAGAATAGTGTTGTATTTATAGCCAAAGTTAGGCTGAAATCTGAAGAGGTGCAACTCTTCAGAATGGCTGTTTATGCAAAACGCCCACAGCATAAATGCCATTACATAAATGGTCATTTACTCAATAATAAAGAGGGAAAATAAAGAGGGAAAATTGAAGAGGATAGTTACTTTTCTGTTACCAAAACAGAAAAACGGATTGGATTTAATATTAATATTTAATATTAATATTTTGTTATTAAAACAAATATTTAATAACATTTCTGTTACTATTTTACTATTAACAAATAAATTTGGTCCAAAAAGTTAATCAATCAATCGATCATTTGACCAAATCCAAATCCGAATCCGAATCCGAATCCGAATCCGAATCCGAAGCCGAAGCCGAAGCCGAAGCCGTAGCCGTAGCCGACGCCGAGGCTTGCCTT